AAAGCGCATTAACGACTAACTAAACTGACACGTGTAAACAAGTGATAATTTTTTTGGACAAAAAGTTTCCTTTTTTCTATATAAAAACTTTCACGGTCAATGCAATTTATTTTCATTGATATTTTTACTTCCAACTAACAAGGACAGACACACAAAACGGCTCGTGAAAATCATAGGGGGGAAATTGCAAAAATAAAATTTGGATACGGAATTTGTTTGGTTTCGACTTTTCATAACAAATTCTCTTAGTGGTTAAAATATTTGCTCGCAATCCACAAACACCCTGTATTTAATGTTTTAAAGCACAAGAAATGGAAGAAATATCACTTAATAGTCACATTTTTGTTAAACAGAATCCATTATTCTTTATTTTTACAATAAAATAATTCGAATTTCAATATTTATAACAACTTTTACAATCTCTGGATAAATCAACGGATAAGTGATCCGTGGTGGAATTGCTATTATGGTTGCCACAGTACTAATAATGCTCAAATATTGATAGGCATTGTTGTTACATTTAATATTGAATGTTAAATATCTTTTCATTTATCATTTCTAAACATTAAAAGTTTTTCTTTTTTTAGATAGAAAATTTATTAATCTATTAGATGGAAAAATAAAAAATAGAGTGTTTCATTTAAATTTTTTAAGTTCTTTAACTTTTAATAAACTTCTTAAATTATTAATCTTTACAAATGGTAAACACTAAAAAATTGCTACAGCTTCAAATTCTGTACTTTCTTTTTCGCAGGAATAAGAAAAAAATTGTTTTAGCTGTCTTAGTTTTTGAGTAATAAATTTTTAAAAAGTGCATGTTTTCGTCAAAAAAAAACTTATTTCTAAAACTAAGCGAAATCGACAAATAAAAGTTTAGCGTAAAAACATCGTTTTAAAAGGCTATACATCTAAAAATGCAAACAAAAAAACATGCGATGTTTTATTTAAAAAAACACAAGTTTGTATCGTAACTTATTTTTGGGGCATGCTGTATGGTTGAAAATACCCTATAGGTACAGGGTGTAATTAGTCGCTCGAAATCTTTTAAATCACGTTGTATCAATTTGCATATTTACATGTCAGACAGTACTTTTTTTATTTACAAAATTGTGAGCCAAGTTAAATAGCTAAACCAAGGTTTCGTAAATTATTTCTAAATAATAAATTATAACCGAAACCTTTGTCGAGATTTTCTTGATGTTTTCTTTAACAATAATTTATCGTGTTTACAGATGGTAAGTAGGAAGAAAACACTGTCTACGACCTTGGCATTAATTCGGCGAAACACCTTTGAATGCACATGCAACAAAAATGTCATCGAAAAGCCTTGCAACACATGTATGAATTTCAGAGTATTGCACTGACCTTAAAAGCAATAACGAGATTTTATTAAAGGTGTATTACAGACGGTATGACATACTTATGTAATTTTCTTTTATATTCATTGCCGGCAAATGAGTATAAGTTTAGATTGATGAAAATACACTTATTTAAAATTTGAAATTTTTGTCTTTCTATGGTTAAATGCACGGTCATTTTATGCATTTTTTAGTTAGCATACATTCCGTTTTATATATGTATACAGGTATTTATATAGTTTTTGTAATTTTGTTACGGGTTCTTGAAACCTGCTTGCACTTATCTGTATATAATATGAAAGTTAATAACTGCCTTTCACGAAATTTTTATGTATTGCAAATTTTTCATCGTAATATGTTTAATAATCGTTATTTTTTAACTTGTTTTAATTTTTTTAAAAACAATAAAACTGTATATTTGTTATTTATAGCTATTATTTATAATCATTTTTAT